AATCGTAGTAATCAACTAATATTATATACAAAAACTTGGAGAAAACTGATGGGAAATCGTGTTGTTATACAACAACTTCTGGAAGCGAACAAACCATCGTACTTTCCGCTATGGATTCAAGATTTAACAGTGGAATTGTATAAGATGAATAATTCAAAAATTGTAAAATTAACGCTATCTCCTAAGTGTTTGTATTTGAAACCAGCTACTATGAACATGTTATTTACTTATGAATATTGCATTTATCATATGTATACGCAGTTGTTCGAAAATATATATCGCGTTAGTTCAAAACTTTAAACTTTTGTAAATGTTCTTCGAGAGAAAAATATTATCGAAATGTGTTATGCGGTAAAAATGATACGTGAAAACGCTGACTTTGACTGTGAGTCATTTGTTGATTGTGAGTTGTTGGCATGTGCTTTGAAAAATATCATGAACGAAGCTGTGAACAAATAAGATGTTTATTCTGAGAAATAAATTACTTTGTTATATGATACATACATATTTTTTACTTTAGACTTCATCCTTTCTTCGAAAAAATATACCTACTATTGCATAGCAGTGATGCTTTAGACAAGAGCAGACGACGTCTGTTGTCTCTGTCTTCGCCGAGCGATACATATATGAGCTTGTAGCTAACTCCGCCGGCCGCGGGAATCTCGCGCTATAGATTTCTTTTGTTATTTCGCCGCTCATAGGCTTGCCTCACGTATTTAGAAACATTATAATATAATTCTTATGTCATTCAGAGTATGTATTGTTAAAGTTGTAGACATTATAGGAATATTGTATGAGTAGTAGATAAATGAATTTTGCCTGAAATCGCCTAATTTTCGTGTATTTGAAAAATATTTGCTATATTTCTGAGTACTACGTTCAAAGATATTGTGAAAAATGCCGGATATTATTAATGTTATATAATTATGCAATCCGTCACACACAATAGTAATAATGCCCGGTACTCTGCAGAATATCTGTACGTACTCAGAAGTACACCAAAAGCGTTTTGGAATAACGAATACTTTCAGATTTCAGCCAGCATCTGTTACTTTTCTATTGAAATACGCAGTGCCCGGGAATATTAATTTATTTAACAACTGCGATACAAGAACGGTGGTGCTTCCTAGCATAGTGTAGTGATTATATTGCTTGATTATATGGCCACATTTCTATATCCTGTTTTTCATACTGTTTCTTATTACATAAATCAAAAGTAAAATGCAATTTAATGTAAATGCAATATAATTGCAATATAAATACAATATAAATATTTATTCGTTACAGAAACGATATAAAGGAAATAAAGATATGAAGGATAGAAGGAACAGAAATAAGAAATAAAGAAATCCACTCTTGGCCAACATATGTCATTTTCGTAAAAACAATTTTGATAGTTATTAAAACACTTACGTATTGCTTATTCAAACAGAATTAAATAAAAAATGAAATGAAATGATATTTGCTGTATAAAAAATATTTCTTCTATTATTGTATAATAATATACGTATTATTGTTCTATTATTGTATAATAATATACGTATTATTTTGCGTGTAACAACTACATGTAGTAAAAATTAATAAAAAATGTAATTTTGCACTAATAGTTTTACACTTATACTAATAATCTATGTACATAATGTTGCTTAACGGAAATTGCGTGAAGGTGGTGGTCTTTTCCATCAGAAGGAAATGTAAAACGTTAGTTTCATTTAATATTGCATTAATTGTTATATGCATGTAATCTTCTTATAATATAACATGTAGAAATAAAACATGTTATAATGTAAAAAATATGTTGCAATATAAGAAGGAATACAATTTAAAAAAAAATGTTTTGCATTTCCGAAAGTTGGGATGAAAGATAGGAGAGAATAGAGAAAGGATAGAAAGACAGAAATAGAGAAAGGATAAAAAGACAGAATAGATAGAAATATAGAAAAAAAGGATAGAAAAAGAATAAAAGAAATTACAAAAACAGAACATAGATAGAAGCGATAGACAGAAAAATCCCAGACAACACGGACTTTGAAGAGATATCCTAAAGGAAGCCTAAGATGTCTAGAGGACGTTCAACGTCCTGAGGATATCTTTAGAGCATTTCCAAGATGTCTCTTGGAAGTTATGTTGTCTCGGATATAAAGAATAGAAAATAAAAAGACAGGCAATGTATAAAGAGTTATATTAAGCTCACTTTGCACGATGTATACTTTACGACAGAATTCGGAAAATATTGGATTTAGAAAACAATAACATACTTGGAGTAATTATGATAAAAATAATAAAAACATACACATTTAATAATAATACACATAAATAATAAATATATTGGGTCTGGGAAAAAGTTCGTGGCGTTTTTCCCGATAGATGGCGTCAATTGCAAATAACTCAACAGGAAACAGATCGCAGCGACACCACTAAACGCTCGTTGGAAAGGTGACACTTCGAGCGTTACTTTGAGTGTATAAGCATCGAAATTGGTGCAGTGGTTGGAAAGTTATTTGCGTTTGAAAATGGAGAAAAGTAAAGAAAAATTGCGCTATATTTTACAATTTTACTACGACAAAGGGAAGAATGCTGCGCAGGCTTGTGAAAAAATGTGTGCTGTATACGGTGAAGGTACTTTATCAAAATCTGCTGCATGGAAATGGTTTGCTCGCTTTCGTTCTGGTAATTTTGATGTATATCGTTCTGGTCATTTTGATGATAATTTTGATGAAAGATGAGTCACGCTCTGGTCGTCCAATCACTGAAAAACTGATGAAATTCTTGAAAAAGTCCAGCAAGATAAGCATATCAGCAGTGTCGATATTGGTATGGAGCTAGGCATTGACCACAAAACTGTTTTGAACCATTTACACAAAGCTGGCTACAAAAAGAAGCTCGATGTATGGGTTCCTTATGAGTTGAGCGCAAAAAACATGATAGACCGAATTAACATCTGCGATGCGCTGCTGAAACGCAATGAAATCGAGCCATTTCTGAAGCGTGTTATAACCGGTGATGAAAAATGGATCACGTACGACAATCAGAAGCGTCAAAGATCGTGGACAAGGGATGGTGAGCCGTTACAAGCGTTCGCGAAGCCAGGATTGATGCCGAAAAAGGTGATGCTGTGTGTGTGGTAGGAATGGAAGGGAATCGCCCACCATGAGCTACTTCCAGTTGGTCAGACCATTGATTCTCAACTCTACTGTGGACAACTAGAGAGATTATGCCAGGCAATTGAAAGAAAACGGACCAAATTGAATAATAGGAAAGGTGTTGTCTTCCATCATGACAACGCCCGACCACACACTTCTTTTATGACCCGTCAAAAATTGCGAGAGCTTGGTTGGGAAGTTTTGATGCATCCACCGTATAGTCCAGACATAGCAAGCACCCTCTAACTATCACTTGTTCCGATCTCTGCAGAACTCCCTCAATGGAATTAAGCTGGTTTCAAAAGAAGCCTATGAAAACCACTTGATTCAGTTTTTCAATCAGAAACCACAGAAGTTCTTCATCGATGGCATCATGACTCTACCCGAAAAATAGCGAAACATTGTCGATAACAATGGAGCATATTTGGTTTAAATAAATTTATTTTCACACTATAAGAAAACCAGTTGAATTTTACTAAAAAAAACGCCACGAACTTTTTCCCAGACCCAATATATAATAAATGTGTACACATTTAATAATTATATATTGTTAACTACTTTATACAATATATTACATGAATAGATATACAGGGTACAGGGTGCGCCGCCAAAATCCGGACAAATTAAACATTTTTTTTTTAACATAATTTTTATTGCAAGAATGGAGAAGTTTATAATTATTTTTTTTACTAAATTGTTTGTTAGATCATAAAGAACACATTTACTCAATATAACTCCCTTCTGCTTGAATAACCGCCTCCATTCTCGGTCTGAAGCGTTTGCAGGCCCGTTTTAATGAGTCACGATCCATATCGGCGAATGCCGCTTCAATAACGGCTCTCAATGATGCGACGTTTGGATGTCTGAACTTGTTAGTGACCCTTTCACCTACGCTTCATACACAGAAGTCCAAAGGATTTAAATCTGGGCTGTTGGGAGGCCAAAATTCTTTGGACCATAACATGTTGACGTTGTCCGACAACCAATTTTGCACCAAATGACTTGTGTGCGCGAGTGCACCGTCCTGCTGGAAAACATACGACTTTCTAGACGATATAGTTTCCATCCACGGCTTCACTACATTTATCAGAACATGTAAATAAACTTCTTTTGTGACATTTTCCTCTTTGTTAAAGAAATACGGTGGCATGACATCACCCTCACTGGACACAACACTTAGCACGTGAACATCCCACACAGCACAAAATATTTTTAAAATATTTTAAAAATATTTATCATAAAGATTTGAATATTTTAAAAACATTTATGTTAAATATTTTGTAAATATTAAAATGTCCGAGCATGTCAAGTATGAAAGATTATTATAAAGATTTAAAAATAATTTAAAAATATTTATGATAAAGATTGTGATAAAGATTTAAAAATAATTTAATATAATAATAATTTAAAAACATTTATAATAAAGAATAAGAAAATGATTACCAATTATTGTATAAATATGTGATACAAATATTTATGCGATAGGTATATACAATAATGCCATACAGACTACGTTTACATGGCGATGTTAAGCCAGCTTAGTAACTACCATGATGGTTAATGAATTCTTGCATTCGATTGGAGTATATTTTTACATCTAAAAGAAATCTTTTAGATCTAAAAATATATTCCAGTCGGATGCAATAATTCACTATAACTACGGTATTTACTAAGTCGGCTTAACGTCGCCGTGTAAACGTATAGTCACATATTATTATTGGGAACATATTTAATTTAATACTGGTACATTACATTAAACTAAAAAATATCATTTTTCAAACGTTGACAGTACCTTCTATAAATATAACGTATAATATTGCAAAATATCACATAAAAAAAAATAACACATTTTTGGCATATATATATTATTCAACACAGTAATATATATAGTTTAAAGAAAAAGTGAGTCACGGCGAAGTTAGTCATCATCGCTATCATCATCATCATCATATTGCGTGTTTAATTGTGCAGGTTGATTGCATCTCCTGAAAATAAGGTAATTATTAAAATTGTTGTAAAATATATGAGAAATTTATATGTAAGAAAATTATGCTACAGAATGTTCCAGAACATTGGCGCTAACGTCTGTTGGGGCGTAAAATATATTAAGATAAATACAAAAATCTTATTCAGTTTTGCGATGTTCGCAATAAGTAACTAGATATACTTTGGTAAAATTGGACCAAAGCGCGTGCACCAAGAAGCCGTTCGAGCGTATAGCATGGCCCATTTCAATTGACAATGGATGTCGGCGCGCAGTGAATCATGTAGCGTTTTCGAGTGAAGCGGGCTCGGTATGGAACTTTGTTGTTCATCATAATCCGTTTTACATCTCCAATGGCCGTTAGTATTGATGTTCTGAGACACTCCGTATATGTAAAGTATCTGACGCAAAGTACGATATGTGGAATATACGTTTAGATTAGGTCATTCTCAGTAGAACAGTCCTATACTGCCCAGACAGCACATGTCCTCTTGGATATGTCCTAAGGACATCCTGAGGAGAAGAAACATCCCCAGGACGTCCTCAAGAAGTACTCTGGACGTCCTCTGGATATCTGTGCTATTAGGGTGTTTTGTAAACGGCGTATAAATTTGATATATTAATTAAAAAAGTCGATTGTATTTACGTTTTCTGTGATGTAAAAACCTAAATAGGTGTGTGGTTCTTTTAACAATGGCAAACGACTGTAACGAGGAGTTTTACCCCCGTTACCATCGTGTGACGGCGACCACCGATCGTCACACGATCGCGAGAAATCCTCGCTAAGCACCCGGCAACACCTAGGCCGCGGCAACCCGCCAGACCGCCGGGAAAGGCCGAATTCTCCGAAACGGTCGGGGAAGATCGGTCCCCCCCAGAAAGGGGTAATTCGCGGAAATCGCATGCGCGACTTTCCGGGAAATCGGGGGAACTAATCCCCGATTATCGACCGATCGAGATTAGGTATAAAACCCGCTCTCGACGAGAGATCGAGGCAGACCGTGAGAGACAGTCAGTCAGTCAGATCAGCTACCAAGGAGAGCTCCAGCGAGAATCGTGAAGAGAAGTCGACGAGAAGGCAAGGCATCCGCCGGTGAGTAAAGCTTCCACACCGTACCGAACCACCGGGAACTTTTACAAGACCCGGCAGCCGAGCCTCGTCAATCGACCGGCTTCGCGAATTTACCGTATTCGTCCGTCTGTGTCGGCAGCAGTTAGCCACCGACACGGAATAATTCTAAGTCACTGTTCGCGACTTTACCGTATTCATCCGTCTGTGTCGGCAGCAGTTAGCCACCGACACAGAATATTTCTAAGTATCCATTCGCGAATTTACCGTATTCGTCCGTCTGTGTCGGCAGCAGTTAGCCACCGGCATAGAATAATTCTAAGTACCTGTTCTCGAATTCTAAGTGTTCGTCCGTCGACGTTAGGCAGCAGTTAGCCGCCGCGCCGAATTAGACTAAGTATCTGTTTCCGAACGAACGGCAGCAGTTAGCCACCGTTCCGCGATTTCTAAGTGTTCGTCCGTCGACGTTAGGCAGCAGTTAGCCGCCGCGCCGAATTAGACTAAGTATCTGTTTCCGAACGAACGGCAGCAGTTAGCCACCGTTCCGCGATTTCTAAGTGTTCGTCCGTCGACGTTAGGCAGCAGTTAGCCGCCGCGCCGACATAGACTAAGTTTCTGTTTCCGAACGAACGGCAGCAGTTAGCCACCGTTCCGCGATTTCTAAGTGTTCGTCCGTCGACGTTAGGCAGCAGTTAGCCGCCGCGCCGACATAGACTAAGTATCTGTTTCCGAACGAACGGCAGCAGTTAGCCACCGTTCCGCGATTTCTAAGTGTTCGTCCGTCGACGTTAGGCAGCAGTTAGCCGCCGCGCCGACATAGACTATGTTTCTGTTTCCGAACGAACGGCAGCAGTTAGCCACCGTCTCGCGAATATAAGTGCTCGTCCGTCTACGTCGGCAGCAATTAGCCACCGACGTAGAATAGTCTCTAAGTTCCTGTGCGCGAATATAAGTGTTCGTCCGTCTGTGTCGGCAGCAGTTAGCCACCGACACAGAATATTTCTAAGCATCGGTTCGCGGAATTATCGGTGCTTGTCCGACTTTGTGTCCGTGATAAGCTGCCGGAATAAACCACCTCTCGCTTATCCGAAAGAACAGCTGGCGTAAAGCGCCCTCAACAGGACTCGTGGCCGAGGACGTCGGACTGCCAAGAGGCCGCGGAACATCCCCTCTGACCCCGCGGATAGGGGACCATCCTTGCGGCTAAGCGGGGAGTCACGGGCACCGAGGAACGGGCATCGCCGACGCCACACCGAGCCAGCGAGCCCGCCTACATACATTTATATATATATAGAACCGTATATCTTTTTAAATAAACGGGGCGCCTCGCGGGGCGCACCACACTTGCTAAACACACAAAAACGCCGGATACACATTTCTTGCGAGAAGCAACCTTGCACCTCCCTCCTTCACCCGAGTAACGCACCGACGCGGCGGCGAGCGAGGCGTCGCGGAAGCGGCGAGCCGGGCGCGACGGTGGGGCGACCGATCGCACCGAACCCCGCGGGCGTTACCGTTACACGACTATGTAACTAACAATGACCTAATCTAAATATATTAGGCGCAAAATGTTTTCTGGCTATATTCCTCTGATATCGTACCTTGAGCCAAACATTCTGTATATAAATACGTAAATATTGTTCGTACTTTTGTTCATTCTTTAAACGCGAAATTGGAATTGTCCAACCAACTCGCTATTGCATTTTTTATTTGCTCCTCAGTTGCTGAAGTATCATGCGATTGTACTGCGTCTGTAAATATAGTAAAAAAATTATATGAAATATATATAAATACAAAATAAATTGTTTTGTAACGAAGAAATTATGGTTAAAAGTAATATTCTGCAGTTTTATATATTATATACATATAGTGCTTTATATATAAAACATACAGTTGTGGACAATAAAATGGTAGGACATCTTTTCGATTGGCAGGGGTATAGTTATTGACACATTAATGTTTTTAATTCAAATTTCTCGTGAAATGCACGGCGCTCGTATTCAACGTTCATATGCTCGTGCAAAGTATTGCACGAACCTGCTGAACCTGCAACCGCATGATGTAATTGTCTGTTCTCCATCGCCGAAAGCTTATTTAATATTATGTCACTTTGGAGTGAAAGTTTATTTTGTTTTGTAATAATAATCTTTAATGTATCTGGAATTAAACACAAAATCATGTAAGTTGCAATGTTTATATATATATATATATGTGTGTGTGTGTATATATAACCGTTATTAAAACAATATAGATATTTTGTTACAACTGCCGAAAAGTACTTAATTTTCTTCGTCTTTGCAGTGAATTAGTCCTTTACAAAATCAAAAGGAATATAGATATTTACCCATGAGTAGATTTGCTCTATCTACGTCCTGTGCTGCATTTAATGTAATGTCGTTACTAGCAGAATTGTTATTCTCAGTACCTTACATGTAATATGAAGTATATTATTAACAAAAGTTTTAATATTAACAAAAGCTAACATAATTAGAATAAATATTAATATTGTACAATACATTTTGATTGATAACTTACTACAAAGATTTCGAGCTGGCACGACAATATCATCTGTATATATCAATGTATATATCTGTATATATCAATTCGTTTTTATTTAGATATTGATTCAATTGTATCATTTTTTGCTCTCCTACTGCTTGTAGTTGAAATGAAATATTCGTTTTCATTGCATTCTACGGCACGTTTACGACTTGATTTCTCATTTACGTGTACAGAATTTTTGTTTTGGATGTCAGTTAAAATTCTTGTATTTCCACACTCTTTTCCTGATAAAGTTTCTATGGGGCCTGAGAGATATACTATTTAACGTCAGTGGTAAATTACGTAATTTTTGGATGAATATTAATACAGTCTGATTAATATAACTCTTGATAACTTTCATCTTGGTAAGTAGCAGTAAAAAGATAATAAAAAATAAATGACTAACTAAAAGAAACATCTGGGTCACAAAAAACTAACTCTCGACAACTTGCAGCACACCCCCGTGGCATGCTACTTATCAAGAGTTTACTGTATTACACAATACATTTTGATTCATAACTTACCAGAATGAATTAGAGCTGGCACGATAATATCTTCAGTATATGGTATATCAATTCGTTTTGTAATAGTTACTGTTTCAACTGCATCGTTTTTTGCTTTCGTATTGTTTTCAGTATCTGCAGACACCTTTCCTAATGAAGTTTTAATGGCGCGTGAGAGATATATCACTTAACGTCAGTGATTAAGTACGTCATTAGGATAAATATTAATATTGTACAATACATTTTGATTAATAACTTACGGTGATTACTTTTTGCTGGCACGATGATGTCTTCAGTATATGGCATATCATCTCGTTCTCTTATACATACTGATTCATGTTTAGGATTTCGCTTTGCTTCATTGTTGATATCTGGACTCTTTTCAACAATATCATCGATTTCAAAATCTGACAGATATTTTTTATGACGAGTGCTTCGGCTTTTTCTCATTTTCTCTTCACTATCAACATCTGAAAACATTTCAGCATCTTTTCTTTTCTGCAAAGTTTCATTGTAATCGTCTGTAATAAAGCAATTTGTTATTGGCGTTTTTGTTGAATATTATATGATATATATGGACTACATGTGTTATTGCGTTTTTATTTGAGGTTGCAGGCTAGTGTATTTGATGATTATTATCCGTTTGTAAGTGATATGATGACAAACCACAAATTATAATTTTCTCTCATTTGCTCTATACTATATTTATTAAATTCTATTCACACATAACAATGTTCCCAACAAACACAGCATGTAACCCAGATAGCCAAACCTGAGCGAACAAATTCCGAGCAAAGCTTGCTATCCATTTTTTATGGCAGATAGGCAACAAAGATATAGGACCTGTATTATAAAATTCTGTTACCAAGCTGCTATCAAATATGCAACAGAGTCTGCTGCAAGTTGCTCGGGCGCGGCAAGGTTTGCGCGGTTTTTACTGAAAGTTGCCCGGCAGTAAGCCTTGTCGCAAAAACCGTAGCCGAATGCGGACACAGATGGCTATGGTTCTGGTGTGGGGATTTGGTCAAGTTTGCTGCAAATTTGCACGCAATCTGCGGTCAATTTGCTTACTGGGTAAGCCTGGGTACCTGTTACATTGTGCCTGCAAGGTTGCTTACCACTTAGGAACAACATTTTTTCGTAGGAATACGTTTGCCAATTATCTTGTGAGTTATCACGATTCATTATTGCTTTCCATATTTGTCTGGTGTCATCATATGGTGGCCATTTCACTGTCAATTTTTCTTCATGTAACCATGCTGTTGGTACAACCTCGGGCGCTTCCGGCTCTACGAAACTTAACAGAGAAAACATTCTCCGCTGAAACAGAATTATAATTATCGTTATATAACATATACATGAAATTATGCACTTCAAATATCCAAACTTTCTTGTACTTATCAATATACTGCAATACTATCAGAAAAACATTGTGCAATTGATAACGATAAGGTTTTAAAGAGTGTAGAGTACTTTGTTCTCTTTTACATAGTGACAAATTACTTCATGTGTAAACATTCGTTTTATTTATTCAAGCAGCACAAAATACCCTCAACGCATTTATATATGTGTTTCAACACAGATATAATATATAATTAGACATAACTTTAGTTACAGTAGGCAATGTTTGTTTTATTGTTCTATTTCTATATAATGCAGATTGCTTAACCTTCATCGTTTTAGGCTGGAATCACATGGGTCGTACAAGCTTTATAAGCATAGTAAAGACATACAGGCCTAAGACATACAGATCATACATTGTTTTACGTATGCAGTATAGGTAAAACTACTATGCAATTTCTAATAATCTAAATTTTATAGGGTATCTCAAACATTTTTTTATAAATAGCATTACAGTTCCACGTGCATACTGGGTTATTCTTATCTTTAACAATTGTAATGTCTAACGAGTCGGACGGCAATGGATTATTATATAAGACTTGCTGAGGTTTTAATTTTCGTCCTATTGCAACTATTTCAGTGTCCAAAATTGCAAAACTTGTTACAGTAATAATAGTTCCATCTCGAAGCATTACACAATCATTTTTCTTGTCAGTACAATTAAGTGAATAGATAGGTGTTTTTAATATATGAAATTCGGCATTGTATGTATTTGTTATCATATTGACATAACGTTTTTCTAATCTAATGGAGTTGCGATCTTGTACGGGATGAGTTTCGAAATTTGTATCACTACGTTCTTCAAATCTTCGCGCAATTTGCTGTAAAAGCGTTTCTCCTTTACGTAGCATATTTTTTATAGTACAGATATAGCTTTCAAATGGAAAAGAACTTAATGAATCCAAGGTAGCTTTAAAAAATCTTACTTCATCACATAAATGAGATCACATAAATGAGATTGTGAACATTAAACGTAACGTTTTCAGGACCATATATGTTTGCAAATTGTGTAACAAAAGTTCGTAAAAGGTAATGAGCTGATTCTAAATTTTTCTCGTCTTTTATCAATATTGGATCATTAAAAATTGTTATAGCTGCATGCAACATAATGAAATGGTCGTAAACATTTGCAGCTACAATATCTTTCAAAACTATAGGTCACTATATAGTAAAAAAATGCCGAAATTCCGTTGCTTTTCCACTTATGCCAATGCGTTAAAATATATACTGTCATTACTTCAAGAACACCATGTTACTGAAATAGAACGTGATATATTTATAATATATCATAATAAATAAACAGAAAAAGTAATGTATATTGTATTCACAAATAATCACGTTTACCAAGCACAACTAAAATTCATCTGTTATGTTGTATAACTACCATATTATTCATATTGTTACCTCCTTCAGTATAATAATATTCATCCTCAATATCACATGCATTATAGTCAATGGAGTTTTCATTGTCACTAATGTTTATACCAGGCTCATTGTGGTGTTGCAAGTGTATGACATTACTTGTGCTTGCTACAATATTACATTATTACCTATACTGTTACACACATATACGTACTTTTCTATACTATTTCAATATACTTTCTGGCCCATATTCAAAACGCGCTTACAACAATGTTACAACACTGACAAGCCAAGTATAGACAATCAGAAGGCTTATAAGCCACTTCTGATTGGCTATATTCAACTTGTCAGTGAGCTGACATGATTGTAAACGCGTTCTATGTATGGGTCTTTGTTTTACAGTTATCATTACCTTGGAAATTATCATTTGCAACATCCCGTACCCACTGTCCATTTGTGTCTTTGATACTGGATTGTACTTTTGTCAGTAACAACTGTATATCTATTTTTGTTTGTTCCTTAGCACAACGGTACAAATGTCTTTTGCTTACATGTTTATGTACTTTGCCTTCTTGTGGCATATTTGAGGGAGTTACTTGAATCTTTCTTCTACAATTAGGCACAATATTTATGTATGCATTAGTAGTACTGCTTTACTAACAATTACCAAAATAGTACAAATCTCCAAAGGAGATTACATCTCTGCGACAGCCCTTGCACATTTTGTGCTGTTTGTATATATATATTTTTATAACATTGTTTTAGATTACATTTTAACCGGCACTTTAATAGCTGATATATTTTCCACCATGGCTATCGTTCAGCGGTAGTACAAAACAAATATTTTAACCACTTTTTCATATACATCACATTATTACAGAGAACACCGTAGTCCACCACTTTTCAACTTCAAAGAATCACATGATGTACCACATGGTTGGTCGAATCCGACCGAAACGAGAATGACGAATTATTATTATTATTTTATGAAAAATATTTTGTCTAAATCAATAAAATAAAATACAGAATTAATCGAGAAAAAAGTAAAGTTAATAACAAGGTCGGTCGAATTCGACCGGAAAAACGCGCCCGGGTGGAAAAATTTGGTTAGGTGTATCGGACGAAATGCTCCAAAACCTCGTATATCTGACGCTACGCAGCCGTTGCAGAAATACTATATAAGAACACTACGAATATAATGTGAATTACGTAGAACTTACTGCTATTATTCTTCCTACGTTTCACGCTCTTTTCTATACAGCCGTCGAATCTGTGCGTATTCTGCGTACAAAGAGTGGTCTTTATCCGGCGCTTCGAAGCATCTAGTGGATCCTATCAGTAGTCCCGATTTCGGGTGTGTTCGTAAACGTTATACTCTCAGGATACCTTCGGAAACGTTACCGGGTGTTCTTACCGGCACGGACAATATTGGAAATTATGTAATCAAAATCAAATGGCAGGCTCGCATATAATATTCTAACTATTAGTTTCAAATATTAAAAAAAATTATATTATAATATTTATCATATACGTTTTTCTATTATTGATCAAAATATTTATGATATATATTTATATTATATTATTAAAAGATGTCAAAAAATATTTTTCTTTTATAATCATAAATATTCTTCTTAATATTTTCAAAATATATTCTAAATATTTTTTCTATTCCTTTTATATTCTTTATCACATCTTTATCCGAAATATGTATATAATATTTACTACATATTTATGCAAAATATTTTTTCACAATATTTATTAATCTTTCTCATAAATATTTTTCATTAGTGCGTGTTGTCTGGGATTCGCCGGAAATTTCGTTTTGGAAACAATGGGAACATCTATATGATCATGGATAAGCCAGCGATCATTCCTTCGATTGATTTTCGTATCGACAGTAAACATTTTTTCGTCAGAAGAAAGCCTGAGGCGTCCGGCAGCATTGTTTCATAAAGAACACAAAAGCAGGTTACAACGCTCAACTCAACGCTTTGTCCTGGCAGCTTCGGAAAGCATCTGTCTCACTTTAATTGTATAAGACTTGTAGCGGAGGTCCTCCTCGACGATTCGACGAATAGTTTTTTTACTCACACCGACAATGGACGACAATTTTCGAATCGACTGCCCTGGATCCTCAAAAATCAGCTCCTGAGCCCGTTGAATGATTTCGGGCGTCCTGACAACGCGCTCCTTCGAGTAAATTTTCCTTGCCGGTATTGCAAAACCTTCGTTGGACTTCTTCAACTCGTTATACTTCGCGACGACATCATACACAGTCGATCTTGGGTACCCGAAGAATCGAATGATTTCTATCGCTGAGCGCCCAGCGTGAACACTTTCGATAATCGCGAATCTTCGATTATACTTCGCACTTAGTTTCAACATTGCGACTGTTTCGAGGTTATGCATGTTTAGTACATGCGTCAAGCTATTTGGACGCTAATCGCGACCTCTCGCAGAGGTATAGAACGGCGGGAAATTCAAATTGAATTTTGTCCGGATTTTGGCGCCGCACCCTATATAACCCAAATTTATCGCGAACAATACGTTGTGTAAAGTACCTTGTGTAAAGACCTTTACACTAGTAGTGTATTAAAATATTTTTGACTTTTTTGTACTATTGTAAACAAACATTAAATTTGTTATTATATGTTCAAGACAGCATTGTTATAAAGTTTGTATCAGATTAAAATGAATATTAAATAAATAGTCCAGAAACCTTCACAATTCTGCGTTTAACATAAACACAATATTTGTTTAAAAACTCAGAAAGGCCGAAAATAATTTAGTACTTCTAGTATTAAAAGGAAAAAAGCGCATATGCTTTTACTTAATATATTGGGTTAAGTAAAAAGTTTTGAGCGTTTTCCGCTAGATGGCTTTAGTGAGGTCATATCTCACGATGTATACGTCGCATTCTATACTGCGATTTAAAGGTGACATAACGCTACAAAAAAATTAGTTTCATAAAGAACACAAAAGCAGTTACAACGCTCAACTCAACGCTTTGTCCTGGCAGCTTCGGAAAGCATCTGTCTCACTTTAATTGTATAAGACTTGTAGCGGAGGTCCTCCTCGACGATTCGACGAATAGTTTTTTTACTCACACCGACAATGGACGACAATTTTCGAATCGACTGCCCTGGATCCTCAAAAATCAGCTCCTGAGCCCGTTGAATGATTTCGGGCGTCCTGACAACGCGCTCCTTCGAGTAAATTTTCCTTGCCGGTATTGCAAAACCTTCGTTGGACTTCTTCAACTCGTTATACTTCGCGACGACATCATACACAGTCGATCTTGGGTACCCGAAGAATCGAATGATTTCTATCGCTGAGCGCCCAGCGTGAACACTTTCGATAATCGCGAATCTTCGATTATACTTCGCACTTAGTTTCAACATTGCGACTGTTTCGAGGTTATGCATGTTTAGTACATGCGTCAAGCTATTTGGACGCTAATCGCGACCTCTCGCAGAGGTATAGAACGGCGGGAAATTCAAATTGAATTTTGTCCGGATTTTGGCGCCGCACCCTATATAACCCAAATTTATCGCGAACAATACGTTGTGTAAAGTACCTTGTGTAAAGACCTTTACACTAGTAGTGTATTAAAATATTTTTGACTTTTTTGTACTATTGTAAACAAACATTAAATTTGTTATTATATGTTCAAGACAGCATTGTTATAAAGTTTGTATCAGATTAAAATGAATATTAAATAAATAGTCCAGAAACCTTCACAATTCTGCGTTTAACATAAACACAATATTTGTTTAAAAACTCAGAAAGGCCGAAAATAATTTAGTACTTCTAGTATTAAAAGGAAAAAAGCGCATATGCTTTTACTTAATATATTGGGTTAAGTAAAAAGTTTTGAGCGTTTTCCGCTAGATGGCTTTAGTGAGGTCATATCTCACGATGTATACGTCGCATTCTATACTGCGATTTAAAGGTGACATAACGCTACAAAAAAAGTTCTTTGACAGTTTTGTGTTTGGTGAAGCCAGTTGTGTGGTAGAGCGTTCCAAAATGGAGGTAGAAAAAGAGAAATTTCGATACATTCTTCAGTACCACTACGACCATAGGGAAAAAGCGGAGCAGGCGACCAAAAAATTTGTTGCTGTTTATGGACCCAATACAGTATCGAATGCAGCAGCAAAGCGGTGGTTCCAACGATTCCGTTCTGGTAATATGGACGTCGAAGATAAGACATGCTCTGGTAGGCCAATCGTCGAAAATGTCGATAAAATCATGGAAATCGTCGAGTCGGACCGGCGAACACTTATTCCATTGCCCAGGAACTGAAGATTAGCTAGAAAACCGTTTGGAACCATTTGCATAAGGCTGGTCTCAAGAAGAATCTCGATGTATGGGTGCCACACGAATTGACGCAAAAGAACTTTGGACCATCTTTTGGACTTTTGAACTTTTGGACTGAATTCATGCCTGCGATTCTTTGCTGAAGGGTAACGAAATCGACCCATTTTTGAAGTGGATGGTGACTGGCGATGAAAAATGGGTCACATACGAGAACAACAGGCGAAAAAGATCGTGGTCCAAGCGCGGTGAGCCGGTCCAAACGATCGCCAAGCTCGGATTAACGGCCAAGAAGGTTTTACTGTGTGTTTGGTGGGATTGGAAGGGAATCATCCACTATGAGCTGCTCCCATCGGGCCAGTCACCCAATTCGGACGTACACTGTCAACAACTGACCAGATTGAAGCAGGCGATTGACGAGAAGCGGCCAGAATTGGCCAATAGGAAGGGTGTTGTGTTCCATCAGGACAACGCCAGGCCGCACACACCTTCGACGACGCGCCAGAAACTCCGAGAGCTTGGATGGGAAGTTATATCGCACCCGCCGTATAGCCCAGACCTGGCTCCAAGCGATTATCACCTTTTCAAGCATTTGCAAAATTTTCTTGATGGTACAAAACTGATCTCAAGAGAGGCTTGTGAAAATGAGATGGCCAAGTTTTTTATCAATAGGGACGAGGACTTCTTCAATCGCGGAATTATGAAATTGCCTTCAAAATGAACAAAAGTTATCGAACAAAACGGCGTATATTTGATCTAAATCCGATAATCCTACTTTTGTTAATTTCATCGTCGAATTAAAGAGAAAAAACGCTCAGAACTTTTTACTTCACCCAATACTATAACTTTCTGGTGGGCGCGTATGTGGGCAATGTATCAGCTTATCAATTGTATAAAAGAAAGAAACAAATTAATTGTAAAAAGAAAGAAATAGTAATCTGTGATATATGTACTAAAACATCTTCGTGCAATGTATATTTTACGTTTATATAGGACACGCTCGTTTTCGTAAGTAAAAAAAGCACGCATACCATAAATGGCACGACTTTTGAAATATTCACTGATAATCAATTTTCTTAAATAGAAATTTTTTATTATATTATCTTTTCTACCAATTAATTTGAACAACTTTTGTCTGAAACATTTTTTTATTTGCTTAATAAATTTTGAGATATTTGAGGTATAACGAGGCGCAAATGCACCTCCTTACTACCGGCCCGACTGACCACCTGTCGGGCCGAAGAACGGCGCTTTGCGCCACCCTTAATCTATCGAAACGACCGCGCGCCGTTGTCTCGCGCCGCCGCTATCGCGCGCCGCGGCGATCACGCGCTGCCGCTAGCGCGCGCGACCGCGATCACGCGCCGTCGCCGTGCCTCGCGCTGATAGGCGCGCCGCTCGATCGCCGCCGTATCAATCGTAGCGCAGCAACTATAAAACGGCGGCGATCGAGCTTCTAGACACCCGATCCGTACCGCCGATTCGATCTAGACGCTTCATGCCGAAAGAGAGAATATCCGGACCGTTTCGCTCTGCCTTCCGCTTTCCAACTACCCGACCGACGACTAAGAACACGGGATTGTACGTCCGCAGTCTCGATCGAGCGTACTCGATACTTGGCCGTCTCCCGTCTTCCTGGGCTCGTGCGTGCGCGTGCTCAGTCGAGCGTACTCGACAGTCTCTCGCCTTTATCCGCCACCTTGAGTCAGGGGTTCGTCCGTCGGCGAACTCCGCTGAGCGTACTCAGCCTTTAGGCGATCCGTCTAGCGACCAAGAACCCGGGACGGTGTGTCCACCGTCTCCCCTGAGTGTCCACAGCACTTGGTCGCTTTCTTCCGCGAACGTAGGGAAAAAGGAAGGTGCATACGCCTTCTCTGTCGAGAGTCCTCGGCCCCGACGGACGAAATCATTTCGCGTATTCCGCGACTTGCGTGCGTGCGTTCGACCGAGAGTCGAAATCTCCGATCCAGCGACCATCTATATGCGAGCGATTTCGAGCCGAGTATTAGGCGAAAATTGTCCGAGACG